AAACGTTGCTTAGTGAAATCAAAATTTTCAAAAATCTTCATTTTTAATGATGCCAAATTGCCAAGGCGAGAATAATGACTCATAGCTTGATCAGCTAGGACTGATTTTATTAGCCCAGATTCATGCAGAGATGATGCTAGAGAATCAAAACGTATCTTCGCTTTGTCAGGTGACCTGATGATAACCTTTGGTGAAAACGAAGATAAATGCCTAGTAGCCTTGTATTTAAGTGGAGAACGCTCTTTTAATTTAGTGACTACACCAATTAAAAAGCCAATGCATTCTTCTCGAAATTTAATTTTTTGACTACTAACAGTTTTACAATTCTGTAACTCAAAAACAGCTCCAACACCAATTACCACGTCTCTCTAATTGCACTTTTCATTCTGCAGATCTATCTTCCACAACTTTTGTAATGAATCAGCTTTTGTGAAAACATTTTTTGATAAATCTCTCGATGAGGCATGACATCAGATGATATAACTCATCATTTAGGAAAGGAACTAAAGGACTTGGTGACTGAAATTGCATAAGAAATGGTTCTACTACAATGGCAACAGACAAAAAAAAAAAACTGATTTTAGCTTTGATTAGAGGATTTGTGCTTCAATAACATTCTGTGCAGTAATAGTCGCCGGTAATTTTGACCTTTCTACGTAAGTTTTCACATTGTTAAAAATTTCAAGAGCTCTCTCTGCAACTGCAGCATTCTCCACCCACCGCGTCGTACAAAATTTTAAAGGAAATTTTGCTTTACCACCGTTTATTGCTAAATAGTCTGCTCTGCGAGCAGGACAATCTTTAAAAAGTCTATATAAGGAACTTAATGCTGAATTAACTTTTCAACCAGCGCCTTTGTGCCCCTTCTGAAATGCCCCATGAACTACATGGAGGCCACATGATCCGATGTTAATTAACTGAATATCAAATTTTGCTGAATGAATTTCATCTAGAGCATCAAAAAATTTCCAGTTTACACTGGGTCCATCCATAGAAACTTGAATTAATTTTGGCAATAACATGTCCCCAATCACTGCATTAAAGCTGTCTTTTATTTTATTAGCAGTTGCATGCCCTAAAAAAGCAGATGAAAAGTAATGAGTAATAGCTTTATGTTTCTCTAAATCTCAAAAGCGCACACATATATCCATTTGGCTTTGTTGTATTACTCCGTTAAGTGCCTCGTCAAACATTATGCACAAAAAATTGCAATTTAAAATATTTTGCAGAAGAACATCAAGGAAATAGGGAGCAATACCATGAGTTATGTTAAGGCAATCTTTGTCTTTCCAAGCTTGAACTGCTAAGCTATTTCACTGTCAGGAAACATTTGTTTAAATGTTTTTCCTATATTAATGCAAGACCTATAAGATTCATGGTGGGATACAACTCGTAAAGCCCATTTAATTTCTGCTTTTGTGACTTCATCTCGTATAGCATAGCTATCAACTGTTTTCTGAATACTTGCAGAACTTACATCACTCAAAGCACATGAACTGTTTTGGAATAATACTGTTTTTATTTGATTTGTATCTTTTACAATACTGTTTGAAGCTAATTCTTGGATTTGATGTTTACTAAATAAAGAATAGATTGGCAACTGGTTCTTAAACAAACTAACACTATTGGCATGCTTTTTACTTCTTTCATGACTTTTTACTGCCTGAATGTCCATGTTTTTTAAATCAAATGTTTTTCGACAAATAGAACACATTGCCTGTGCAGGACTATTAAAAACTTCTTTTAGCCAAAACCAATCAGCGTAAAGCGTTTTATTTAACCAATCTTTGCTGAAGTAACATTGTTTTGACATTTTTTAAATTTATTTTCTAAACACAAGATGTAAGCACATTTATATAAGTACAACACAAACTTCTAACTTTTTTTTAAATATTTTGAAATTAAAAGTATGAATATTAACTTAAAACAAACACTATGTATATTTATAGAATTTGACTGTTTGCTATAACAAAAAATACTACAGTGATAGATTAGAACTAATTTTCTAACTAATAACACAATATGACAAAATAAAAATTTTGTTCCCTTTCACACATTTAGTCATTTAGCCCTTTTGAAATAAGTGAAAAAATGGACTGCAACAAATTGCTTTCCTGTTTAATCTTTACATAATATTGAAAAAATATTTTTGAAAATTAAGAACCAAAATGTGAAAAAGAATAATAAAGTTTTACAAAATAATTATATAGCATATAAAATGTAAGATTTTTAGTTTCTAATACGCAATAAATTATAAATATTTTGTTACAGAATCCACCAAAATTCCCTGACTTTTGGAAAATTTAACATATTCCCTGACTTTTTAGCATAGTTTAGATTTTCCCTGACTTTTCCAGGTTTTCCAGGTTGCTGGCCACCCTGTTCAACATTAAACAATCTCCAAAAATAATTTAAAGAAATTATGAAATATAAGTAATCTAAATAATAAATAATATAAAAGAAAAATTCTTCTTAGAAAATGCTGCTATGAAAACTATTTTAAATAGGCTTGAAGGTACTTGTAGTTGAAGGTACTTTTAATTTCGTTGCAGGAAGGTAAATCGTCAAGTACAGCCTGCCAATACCTAAAAAACAAATAGAACTACTACATACATCTACACCTTGATTTATTCAAAAAAAAATTAAAAAGCATAACATTAAGAAAGGTGTTATCTTATTGATATTTTTATAACAGGTAATATTTATAAAAACTAATAGAAATAAACTATTTTTATATTTTGAATATGCTATCTTTTTTAAAAAGGTTACATGAAAATATCTTGAAATGATGTAAATAAAATTCAAAAAATATATTAATTAATTTGAATAAATATAATTTCTGAAATCGAGATAAAATCAAAATGCAAAAGGATTTTCAGCAACAAAATGAGACCAAAAAAACTTGTTGCTTGGAAACATTTTTTTTGATATTTGCCAGCACAAGTGTTATTAAAAAGCCAAAAAACACTGAGCAGCTCTGGTACCCATTTTGTAATTCAAAATACTTACTTGGATCATGGCTTTACTTAGATAACCCTAACCCAAACATCAATGTTTATAATAATCTGATACCTTGTATCAGACTATTGTAACCTGATACAAGTTAAATCTGATACCTTTTATCAGATGTTTATCAACTTTAAAAAACAAACTACAAAATGCTTTTGTTTTTAAACATGAAATATATTAAATGGATATTATTGAATATAAATGAGAGAAGCGCAGTTTTTTAAGACATACACCAACATATGTATGAAAAATTATTAATGAAAACATTTAAATCTGTAAAAATAGAAAATCCTGTTAACACTTCAGTTCATTACTAATATAATGTAACAGTATATTCAAACAGTCTGTTCATTACTAATATAATGTAACAGTATATTTAAACAGGCTGTTTAAATATACTAATCATAATTCTTAAAATACTTTTTTTGTAACTGTTTATACTTTTTATTCACAGTTGTACCAGTCTTTACAATTCCTGAAAGTCTTTCAATAATAAAACTGTTGTAATCAATAACAAAACTTAATAATAAAAATGTTTATCAATTTAATAATAACTTAATAATAAGTTAATAATATGTATCCAAGTAAAATATTTATCCTTCATAAAAATATTTAATAAAATTACAATAAAAGTAAGTATTTTTTTTTTTTACAAAAAAAAAAAAAAAAGAATAATAAAATAAAGATCTTTTGCAAATAATTTTAAAATTTAATGAAAACATAACCTAACTTTCAAATACATGAATACAAAATAAAACATAGAAAAATAAAATAAAATGAAAAGTAATATTTAGTGTGTTTAAATATCCTAATAACTTAGTAAAGTAGAATAAACATAAACTTACTTCATAAAATGATCTGATTGCATCTCTGGGTTAAACATGAACAACACTGATGTGTAGCCAGTTACACGTTGTAAGTTAAGATATTTGTGAACATTTTTTCATAGTTTAAACACTTTTTGAAAATCAAAAATGTCAATTTTTACAAGAAAAAATATGGTATTTTAAGATACATATATTATCTTTCAAAATTTCTAGCTAAAAAGAATAATAATAATGCAAGTATCAATTTCAAATGTAAATCTATGTGTTTAGAAGAGGTAACATTGTGGTTTATCGAGCATCTTTTTGTAGACTTATTTATTATTATTATTGAAATAATATGAAGAATGTATAAAAATACATATATTTTTCTATGAACAAAAAATATATTAAAACATATTAACATATTAAAACATTCAACTTTAGACAAATTAAGCCACGAACCTTGGTTACTTAACTGTATATTTTAGTGTAGACTAAACCAAACCTAAAAATATTCCAGTCTACACTTAATTTTGAATGTCACACGAACAACTCGCGTTGGCAGATTATTGGCCAAAAATTAACGCCGTGTACACTTATTTGATTTATTCTACAAAAGAGGATTTTTAAAAAATGTAATTCTCTGAAACTTAAAACCAATTTGTGCATTTACCCGCAGATGATTTTGAAGTGACCAATAATTACAACCTTTTTAAATTAAGTTGTATTAGATACTGATGACGAAGAATAACATTTTGTGTAATTTCCACCAATAGAAAAAGCTGATTTTATTTGCACTTTCTAGTCTACTGCCAAATCAAGATGTAGAAGTTTTTCAATTCCCACTTCGGTAATCTATATTTAATCCAGTATTACGACAAAATTTCTCATTATCTTGTAAACTTTTATTGAATAGTTTGTATGTAATACTTGAATGGGTTTGCAATGCAATGCTTATATTGTAGTATATAAACTTTTTTTATTTAGCCTTTAAATTTCAGCAGTAAAGACATTATCATCGTTATCATCAATACAAGAAGTTTTCAGTGAAGGGTTTATAAAGATCTGTCTTGCCAAACCTCACGTATCATTAAGTTAAAGGAAACAATTATAATTATTATAGTTAGGAAACAGAAGACGTACATGTCATCGCTTAGTTTGTGGTAAAAAAAATACAACTATAAATATATTACAAAATACTACGAATAACAGGAAATAAAGGTACATTGGATGTTTTATGGGCAGTCCACATCCGTTTTTTAGAATGATGATAATGATAAAATTTAGAAATGCGGAATCTCTCTACTTCTAAACCATGCGCCAATACTCTAAATGACAGGCAATTATATTTAGTTATAATTATATTTAGCTTTCATATTTAATAATGTAGTCATTAGCTTGTAAAAAAAAAAAAAAAATTAAACCTGTCAAGTAATTCCCAGTCTTCACCACCCCATTTAGTTTTGAACTCTCTTGTATTCATTCCACCGACTCGATCGAAGTCATTCTTTGTGATGGAAAACAAACCGTATCCTTCATTTTCCCATAATCCTAAGAATGTGCGTTTAATCAAATGCATTATAAATAACATAATCCTAAAAATGCGCGTCTAACTAAATGCCTTATAAAAAAGCAAATGTATTTACAAAACGAGAAATTATTATTCGGAGAAGAACGGTGATTCTTTTAAATAGTTTGTAACTATATTTATCATTATAAAACACAAACCCCAACTAGAATTACACCACATCAGTTACATCTAAAATTTAAATATCTTAAGTAAGTTACCATATGGAAGATCAGGTGTGTATCCACAACTTAACCTGTGAACCATAGGAGCAAATGCCATTTTTCCTTTAATGGTATGCTTAAAAAAATTTAATCTGCTATCAAAATTTGTAAAATACAATATGGTTTTCAGCTGAAGTTATTTTTAATTTAGGTTTTTTTTATGCTACTCTCTCGAGAATGTAGACATGAAATAGTAGCTGTTGACATGAGATAGAAACTGTTGAAAGGAATTATAAATCCACATCATTTTTTTTATTTTTTTAACTTCTTTCTAAAAATGCTTAACTATTTTTTATTGCATTTACTAATCTTTTCATATCATTACTTCAAAAATATTGGTGGTTTACGAATTGTGGTTACGATTGGTTATTAGCTGTTTGTAGTGTACAGGAAAGATTGGCTTAAAAAAACTTGAAGTAAAAATAACTTCAATTGAAAACCTTTAAAAGAGTGAGTATAGATACAAAAAAAATTGATTAAAAATATGGGCATAAAATTAAATTTTTTAAAACTAATATTATGTATTAAATCAACTCGATATAAATTTACAAATGCTATCAAATAAATAAGAAGCTATAAATTTACCTTACGAATGCTATCAAATAAATGAGAAGGTATATCAAGATGCAAATCACATGTAAAGATAATATCATCTACTTGCTAGAAATCAAGTATAAAAAAATTCTTAATTATTAAAAAGTAACAATTTTTATTTAATAAATAAAGTTAAAAACTATGTTATAACTATGAGAAATATTACTTTCACTAGATTTGCACCAGCTTGAATACCTAGAGCACGTTGAAATGGTCCATTTAGTTTAACAACTTGATACCTGACAAAGTTTAAAATAAAAATGAATTCAAAATTTGGAATCCGATTTAAATACTTTTTGTTCTATTAAAGTTGTTATTGTTATAAGTTGTTTGTTAATATACATTTTTAGCTTTTTCAATAGATATGGTTCGGTATTTTCACAATTTTTTATTATCATGATAACTTGGCTTTTTAAAAATCTTTTTACATTTCACTTTCAGTTTCTTTATTTCTCATTTTTATTTGATATAATTTATAATAATACTTATACAATTTTTCCTGATTCAATAAAAGTATTTTCTTTGCTTTGCTTTAGCAAAGTGATTTTTTTTTCATTTTAGGATTTATCATTTCTTTGATTAGTTTTTTTTTTGTTTGTTTTAGGTTATCATTCTTTTAAATAGTTTTTTGTTTGCTTTAGGTTATCATTCTTTTGAATAATTTTTAACAATTCAAAATAAATACAAACTTATGTTTATGAATAAATAAATGAATTACAATAAATATGCAACATTTGACATTAATTTGATAAAATAGTGACAATTCTCACCAGTAACCAAAATAATAAGATTATTTAAAACTTACAATATTTGACTTGTTTAAACTTAATAATTATTAAAATTGATATTTTAATTCTTATGTTTAAAACATTTCAATAAGGTTGCAATAAAACCAATATCACAAAATTGATATTCAAAAGCGATTTCAAATTACCTGAAACCAGCATCCAAAATACGCTATGCAATACAATGCAAAAATTGATATCATTTTTGCAATACAATGCAAAGATTAATAACATTTTAAAGATATAACTCAAAATAATTCAAAACAAAAAACAAGACGAACGTTTCTAATTTATAACTAACCTTGAACAAAGGTAAAGGTCAACTCAAAATCCTCAAATGAAATTGAAATTTTATTAAGGAACTACTTTATCAACTCATACAAATAAAAATAAATACGAATATTTTATCTTTGTTAAAAACTCCATTATCTCAGTCAAGCTGATGGAGTTTTTAACAACTAAAAAGCAGAAACAACCAATCATTAGGCCTTTGATTTATAGCTTAGTCAATTTTACACTATTTTATTTTTAATTTATAGCATAGTGAGTTATACAGTAATTTTTAAAACTTTTCAATTAATTGCTTCATATGCTTCAATATTTATGGTATCCAAATACCGTTAATAGAACTAGTAACGATGTGATGGTAAAATGATAACTAATTTATCAACAAAATACAACTTATCCTCAGGATTTAGGAGCTGCTCTGAAGTTGAAGGCAGAGCTATCTGGAGCTGGTATTTTTACAAGAAGCTGAGCAAGAGTGAAATAATTCCAGGCAGAGCTGGGTCTGAGCTAGCTCCACTCAATCTTTGAAATATCAAAGGATGAGTAATTTTTGTTAAAGGGATTCCTAAGTATAATAAAGTTCTTTTTTAATTTGAAACTTTTTTTTTAAATTAAATTGTAATTAAAAAATTACTGTCATTAAAAATGAATTTATAGTTTTATGATTTCTAAATATTTTATAATATTTTGATATTTATATCTTAATTATTAATAGCCGAATGAATATTATTATTATTAGTGCGCATAGTTACGCGTATTGTTTTATAGTTACGGTACGGTTCTGTATCTGTAAAATGCTCTTTTTGAGTAGTTTCTAGACTTTTCTTTACGGCGTGCTTTCTTAAAGATTTCCTTTCAACCTTTCATGGTACGAGTTCAAAATGTCCAAGTTGACATTAAGTAGATAATGTTTAGTAGCTTAAAATTATAGGTAATCTAAAATCTTTTTTAAATTTAAAAGTAATTAATTTATTGTAATCTTTTTTAAATTGTAATTTTAAATTTAAAGCTTCGTGTTATAGATTGATTTAATTCTTAGATTGTGTTTAGCGTTAAAATATATTTATGGGTAGTTTCATGCTTTCGCATAGTTTTGGTTATTGGGATAAAAGCCATGACAACATTTTGTTATAAATTTATCTTAATTTAATTTTTATTGAAAATTTTGTTATAAATAAAATCTATCTTTAATATTGTTAATACTTTTGCTCTTTGAAAAAAAATATGTTTCTGGCTCTTCAATAAATATAAAATAATTTGTCTTGCATGAATAAATTTTGGTTTAGGATTTAATTGTGTTATTTATGTTTGTCTATCTGTAATTTATTTAGGTTATTAGAAAATTCATGTTTACAGAGTTGTTATTAATCATAATCGAGTTGTTAAACCAAGGAAATTGTGGAGGTTTATTTATCATATATACTATATATATTATATAAATATATTAGAGGGAGTAAGTTTAAAAGCATTTTTAAATTTTTAAAAAGAAATAAAAATACTTTTCAATGTATATCTGTTTTTTTTGAGGTAGAATTAAAGTTTCAGTTTTTTAAAATTTAAATTTAAAGTTTCAAGTTTTCAAAATCGTAATCTTTTCAAAATGTCTAAGTAGGCATTGAGTATTTATAAAATCTTTTTAAAATTTTATAAGTAATTAGTTTATTGTAATCTTTTTTAAATTGTACTTTTAAATTTAAAGCTTCGTGTTATACATGTAAATATTGAAAATATAGATTACTATAATTCTTAGATGGTGTACCATTAAAAGATATTTATGGGTAGTTTCATGCTTTCAAATGCTTTTAATAATTGGAATAAAAGCCATGACAACATTTTGTTATAAATAAAATTTATCTATAGTATTGTTAATACTTTGGTTCTTTGAAAAAAAAAATGTTTTTTTTCTTTTCAAAAAGTTTAATAATTTGCCTTGCATGATTGAATTTTGGTTTAGGATATAATTGTGTTATTATATGTTTGTTTTTTTTATTTATATCTAATTTATAAAGATTTAATTTATAGTTAAGATAAATATAATTTATTTAATTTAAAATTAAGATATAAAATAAAATATCTAATTTATAAAGATTTAGATCATTAGAAAATTTATATTTACAGAGTTGTTATTAATCATAATCAAGTTGTTGAACCAAAAAAATTGTAGAGGTTTATTTATCAAATATACTATATATTATATAAAAGATTTTGGTTTTCATATGTTTTCGCTAATAAATAGTTATATATATATATATATATATATATATATATATATATATATATATACATATATATATATAACTATGTATATCCTTGGAGTTGCGGCAGCGTAATAGTGTGTTGGGGGAAAAAAATTTATAAACCTGCATTAATAACCCGTTTTCTATTGTACATAATGCATTAATAAGTTTTATTACCTGTTTTGTTCAATGTTTTCTCCCAACACATGCCTTATGACGCTGTCTGCGAAGATATGTTGTTTGTTTCTAAATTTTTTTTTCTTTGATAGAAACAGAATAAATTTTAACTTTTTGTTGCAGGTTGCAGGTTTTTCTTAACTTCTATCAAATAAACTTAAGAAACCTGTATTACTTTTGATGATGGCAAATTAATTTTATTTTGCATTAGTTTGGATTCTTTATATATTTGTTTTGAGAATTTTTTTTTTTAATTTTTTGAGTAAGATTTTTTTAGTTATTTATTAAGTTTTTTTATTTTATTGTTAACTTTAGAGTAGTAAAAAAAAGAAATAATTAGTATTGGTTTGATAAATATGTTTAATCAATATGATGACATTGAAATGAATGATAGGCTAGATGAAGTTATGTATTTACAAAATGATGTAAGTGCTATAAGGCGTGTTGAAAATAGTCGTAGACGAAATAAAAGAAATAGACTTAGGCGAGATGAAATTAATCATTTACAAAATGAAAGAAATAGGCTTAATCGAGAAAACGTTAATCGTCACCAAAATGAGAGAAATAGGCTCGATCAAGATTATGTTCATCATCACCAAAATGAAAGAAATAGGCTCGATCGAGATAATGTTAACAAATTGAACAATTATTTGGTATGTTTCATTTATTGAACTCACTGCTTTTAAAATTTACCAAAACCCAAGGCAATATATTTAGCTATATAAATACAATTTATTTATCTCGATTCGATTCTTCATCTTTTATGTTTATAGTTTGGCTCCTTGAAGCATTTTATGTTTTGCTTTTTTTATTATGAGTATTTTAAATCCGTTGTGATGTCTTTTAAATTAAACTAAAGTTTACTAAAAGCCAACATAAAAATTACGTTTTTGAACAACACCAAAAAGAACAGCTGCATCCCTACAGCAACTGCTGCAGTATCACAATAGGTTACCAAAAGCAGGTATACTGTTTTCCAGTTGTTGTTTTTTTTTTCATATATATCTACTTATCTATATAATACTATAGTACGATTGTTTATATCTCATTCATTTTTTTTTTTCTTTATCTTTAAGTGTTAATAATTTTATTCTTTGAATAAGATTAGTTAAACAAGTCGGCTTTCCTTTAAAGATATTGGTTTCAAAATTGAACACCATTGGCAAAATGCTTACAAAATTAGGTAGTTTTTAAAAATCTGTTTTCTATTTAATACACTTATTTTTAAATATACTTTTTAAATATACTTTTTTAATATACTTTTCTATAACAATCCTACTAATATGGAATCACGTAGCTTTTTAAATATGTTTAATTGTCGTCCCTATCGGTAATAAATATTTTAAATTATTTGATATGGTTTTCTTTACAATAGGCTATGCTTGGCTCCTCGGTGCTGTAAATGGTGGCTTCAACTTTGTTTTTTTAAGAAAAATGTGTTTTATATATGCTTTTGTTTTAAAATATTTTTGTTACATATTTAACTATATATCATGTAAATAAATTTCTTTTAAAGATATGTAAACTTGATACTTGCTTTTTTACGGATTTTCAAAAAGTGAACAAAGGTTTAAATATATTTTTTAACTGTCTATGATTTTATCAATTTTATTAAAGCTGAATAAATACTTCAAAAATATTGAGTAAAATCCAATTGCTTTTATTATTAACTTGATCTATACAAAAATTAATGAAATAAAAATAATAATTTAACGCCAAGTTAAGGCAAAATATATTCCGGACATTTTATAAAATTAGTATAAATATAGATTGGATGTATGCTGAAAAAAATATGTTGATACACGTTAGCTATTAAAGTAAATCCATATATTCCTTTATTGTTTTTTTATAAACAAGTTTCTGCTGGATTACTAATTAAAAAAAAGGTTGGTTTAATAATAATCTTTATCATAATAATATAGGATCCGTATGCAGGGCTAAGCCCTTTTCGGAATTGCAATATATTTTTCAACTTATAGTTTTTCCGGATATCCAACTTCTATGCCTACAAGTTTGGGTGTAATATTTTAGATGTTCTAAAAATATTCAAAAAGTATATTAATAACATGGAAAAGTTTAGGTGCGATAGTGACATATTTTTAAGCTCTTCACTTAGTAAAATGAAAAGTTTAAAAAAAAAAAGAAACAACTCCCCTTAAAGCAAAATTAAGAGTAGAATATATTCCCAATATTTACCTAAACAATTTTACGGAATTTGAAAATTTGACATCGATGTTCTGTGCATATAATTCAAGTCATTTTTAACTACTACATGGTTGTGATTTGCGCATTCAATGTCTGAGCATTGCAAAAGAAATGGTTAACTCTTTAATGAAGCTTAGAGTTCTCTTAAACTAAGAAGCCAAGAAAAATAAAAGTGAGCTCAACTAAAAAATTGTATAAATAAATTTATATTTCATTAGAGAAAGTAAATAAAGATCAAATTGTTAGTAATGATTTATTTACTACTAACCCGTATTATGGGTTGCTTACTGCTAGTTATATATGAATATTGAATGTTAAATATTTGATGCTCACCTTGAAGCAATAAGGAATTTCTGCCTCAAGGTGAGTAAAACTGGGGAGAGTATATTAGCTCATGTATAAATTTATGTATATATTTACTTAAAATATTTTAAAAATTATACATGAGCTAATATACTCTACCCAGTTTATTAGATCTAGACTAAAATTCCCACCTCCCTTATAATTGGCACGCAAGTATATAAAGTTGTTTTTTTTACACTCAAATTAGCGTTTACATTTTTTCAGAAATTAATTTAGACCAAATTATGTCACATGGTTCATTTTGCGGCATAACATAAGTTACTTATGTGCATTGTTCTGACTTTGCAGCTAGATAATTGTGATGCTTTAAAAGAAACATAAACTACCTAACTTTTAGCAAAGTTCCTCTATAATGTGAAAACTAAGAAATTCATAATATATTTCTAATTGCAGTTTATGTTGGTGCTAAATGTTTAATACTGCTAGAATAGAACCGGATAATAAGAGAAATAACAAAAGAGCATAACAAGACTTAAAAGCAATAGAGGAAAAACTTATAAAACAGATGCAAAAATATAATAGTAAGTCAAGAAATAAAAAAACAGCTGACTTATATACAACTACATTTAGCTTTAGATGAATCTAATTCTGATGAAAAAGAAGAAAATTATTTTTGCCTGGAAATTAATCTTAATTTGTTATGTTCAAAAACTATTTCTGTTTATCATTGTTTATTTTATTCTTCCTTTTGTATTCACTGCTTGGGTGTGAACTTTTGGCAAATTAATATATTTTCAAGGTTATATTGAGTTGGTTAGATATATAAAAGTTGGTACATTAAAGTTGTTTAGATTTAGGTTTGGTAGATAGATAATCATAGTCTAATAGGTAGGTACATAAATTTAATAAAACTGTTACCTTGGAATTTGACTTAAATGAAGACATTTTTCAATATCCATATCTGTACTGTTAAAATCAACAATTATAACATTGATACGACTATCATTGGTTTCCAAATAAATCTAAAGCAACATCCCACAATTATACCAGTACATATTAAAGCAAGAAAAATTATTATTGTAAATGATACACACAATACCTGAATAATGCACTAATAACAGTTATTTAATTAGAAGTCAGTCAAGTCGTTGTGATTGCAGCATAAAATTACCAGAATGCACATTCAGCGAATAGTTGTTTTTCAAATTAAATAAGTGCATTGTGTATCCTTATTGTTTAAACTCAGTTTTTTTGTTGTTGTGTTTTATTTGTACCAAGTGTTCTGTGTATATCATGTATCAAGTGTTCTGGTTATATTATGTACCATCCTTCTTTCTGGTTATATTATGTACCATGTTTTCTATGTAGTTCTAATAATTAAAATAAACATTTATTTTAGAACTTTAAAAAACTAAAAAGCAAGAATTAACTTACGTTTTCCATATTTCTTATAAAATGTAATAGCCATCTTCCCTGATCTTTAACTAAAGTAAATACTGATATATATATATATATATATATATATATATATATATATATATATATATATATATATATATATATATCTTCAAATATTATACATATATATATATATATATATATATATATATATATATATATATATATATATATATATATAAAATTTTTTTTTTTCCCCGTTAATGTTCAAGGGTGGCCCACGGGCCCTAAACATTTTAATTTTGATGATGTTTGTTGATTTTTCGGAAATTTCAACGCCCGTGGGCCACCCTAAACTTATTAAAAAAAAAAAATATCATCAGTAAACTCAGAATGAGTAATAGAAACAAATAAAAATGCACTCTTAATGAAATTTTTTATGTAAAAAGTCTGAATGAACCTGAAAAAATTAGGAAAACCGAATATTTGGCTTTTTCAAGCTTTTTTTTTTAAGTTTCTTATGACAACATTTAATCATTTTTTTACAGTTAAAATCTCATAAATATATAGAAAATCTTTTACCAGTATAAATAATTTTTGTTTAGGTAATTTAAAATTAATTAAGATGAGAAAGAAGACTATCTAGACTTCAATGTACTCTATAACCCACATACTTTCTCAGCGTACAGCAGTACTGAGTACAACTGTACACATTTATTCCAAACTGGCAATAAGACTGCAAGTGACGTCAATCAAGTGTTTGAACTCGTAGCAAAACTTAAACAAATACAAGTGAAGTTCTAAGAAATATCTTTATTCTTTAATATTAAAATATATAAAGTTAAATTATGTTATGTCTATTATTTCTTTTATAGTTAAATAGATAAAATGCCAAGAACTCCTGAAAAAAAAGAAAGAGGGCTGATGAAATATTCTTAGTAGGTAAATCAAGGAACTCACTTCCATCTAAGCAATTTGCCACAGGAGAAGAGATTATTCAGTATTACCTTCACCTTCATAAAATCATGCCTTATGCTGCTCTGAGAAATCTTGCCTGCTGTACCAACATTAATGGTTTTACACAAATATGTCCAGAAGATAAGAATCACTGCTGTATTATGTCTAAGCTGGTGGTTCCTTGGAAGCTTGGGGGGGGGGGGTATAGAACTCATGATGTACAGGATTCTCTCAGATTTGTTTCATTAATATTAATATAATTTGTAAGTACTTGATTACTTTATTTGTAATTACTTGAAGTCTTTTATCATTAATCATTTTAGGAAGGAAGTAGAAACATTGCTGAATAACTACAAGAAGTTGCAATCTCATAGGAATAGAGAAAAACCAGCAGAAATCATGAAGAGGGAGAACTTTGTAACAGAATCTAAGAAGGTATTTTGGATAGGATATAACATAGAAGTATTAATTGAAGACATACAACAGGACAGAAAAAGAACAGCTGAAGCCAAGAAAGAAGATATCAAATTCTTGAATATGCAAAAGGAGAAAAGGACAGGTTACATAGGACCTAACGACACCAGCTTCAAAAAGGCAGCTGAGAGAGCTTCTAAAAATGTTTGTGGAGATGTGAGTGAGAAATCTGATGAGCAGTTGGTGGAACTAGATGAAGATGAATTAGATACTTCTGTTGATTCATTAAGTAATGCAGGTGATGTCAATGAAAGTGATCTGGATGAGTTTGTTTCCACAAATGTATAGGATAAAAAAAATAGTGCACTTTTACCTAAAGATATTCTCAGGCGTACTGCTATAACTGCTGCAGGTGAAGGTCTTTCAGTGAATCAGCACACTGCTATCATAAGCAGTGTAATAGCTCTCTCAGAAGGAAATGTTGGTAAATATGTTGTCTCTAAATCTTCTTCTTTAAGAGCCATAGATCATGTAATTAATTCAGAAGCTGAAAAAATTTGACAGCACATCAAGAACCTGGCCAACTTATGTCATAAATTGATTTCTGTTCATTTTGATGGAAAGATAGTAAAAGAGTACACAGGAAACTTTTCACTTACTCAAGATAGACTTGCTGTACTAGTGAAAGTTAATGGAAAAACTGAGTTACTAGGTATTCCTCCTATTGATTCAAGGACTGGAGAACAGCAGTTCAATGCTATTTATGAACTTCTAGAGAATTATGGTCTCACTAACCAAGTGCAATGTTTCTGTTTTGATACCACTGCATCAAACACTGGAAGGCTTCAAGGTGTAAATACCTTAATGTCAGAAAAGTTAGGACAGCCACTTCTTCTCCTTGCCTGTCGACACCATGTTCTGGAGCGTCATATTACTCACTTCTGTAAGATGTACCCAAGTAATAAACTTACAGGACCAGATAACCAGCTGTTTAAAAAAATCAAGTTAGTCTGGAATGATCTAGAGAAAGATATACTGCCCCTGAAAAGGATTGAAACTCCGTCTGAAACCTGGATAAACCAACAGCAACAGGAATCTGAACAGTTCTACAGAGATTTAATCAACAATAACACATACAAGAAGGTAAAATGAATCATTCATTCTAGTATATTATTATTCTGTAAACTATTTTTGTATGTATTTTAATGTTTAAAAACAATAATTAATAAAATACAGGATGGGAAATCAAGAAAAGATTACCAGGAGTTAGTTGAGCTCTCTTTGATGATTGTTACTAAGGAGGAGAGGTTCAAGTTTTATATGCCTGGACCTGTACACCATGCCAGGTTCATGGCTAAAGTCTTGTATTATCGGAAAATGTACCTTCTACTCGATCACATTCCTGGTTAACTAAAGAGAACAAAGAGGAAATATCTGATATGGCTATGTTTGTCAGTATATTTTATGCTCAATGGTTCCTTAGAGCTGAGTTGCCAGCTGCTTCTCCATATCAGGTAAAGTTATAAAAGGTTTAGAATAAAAATAAAAATGACAACATGTAAACTATAACAATTGAATATTATTTACTTTAAATATTTGATTAAATATTTGATAGGACATAAAAGCCCTCTGGCAAATGAAGAGGTTTATGGAAATAAATCTTCCTGGAGCTACTGAAGTAGTTCGATAAATATATTTACATATATTTATATATGTATAATATTTAAAGATATATATATATATATATATATATATATATATATATATATATATATATATATATATATATATATATATATATATATATATATATATATATATATATATATATATATATATATATATATATATATATATATATAATTGAAATGTAGCATAACAAAGTAAATTGAAAAAAAAATTTTTTACAAAGTTTTTATAATAAATTTTAAAAACAAAAAGGTTGTTATAATAAAATTTTAGTTTAATTTGTCTTTAATTGCATAATATAAAATATTATAATCTCATTATATTATTTTTAAAAAATTAATAATAAATAATAAAGCTTTTACTGTAGAATCCTACAATGCATAAAACAAAGTTTTCATAAAGCTTGCCTTGCTTGTCTTGATAACCAATATTTGGCTGATATTGTTGCTTAACTTATTTTTAAGTAAGATATTCCAATGAGGTATCACTCTGTTTGTAAAAAAAATGTCACTGGATTGTTTTTGCAAATTCCCCTTCAAATTTTATTGAATTACCTCTTAAACTTTGGAAAAAAGGTTTATGAAGTTTTTTTTACCACAATATCTTATCAATCCTAGTTTTTATTTTGAAAAACTCAATAAGATTACCTCCTCTCCATCTTGTTTCCATATATTTTACTTCAGGTGCTAATTCAGTCATTAATATGGAAAAATAGAAAGTGTTTTGGATTATGTTTTATATCTTTTGTTAAATTTATTTCGTAATCAAGTGTAGATTTTTTTATTTGTTTTTTTAATTGTTCAATTAAAAACATTATTCAAGTTTGTATTCTTGAAATTAATAACACGCACTCCTCACCATAAACTGCATTTTTTTTCTAATTAAATTCTTGATTTGTTTATTAAGGCATGAATAGAACTAGTGAGTTTAAAGTGGTGAGGAATATATTATTTACTTTTTTGTAAGTTTTGAAAAAGTATTCATAAAATTGATTTGTAGACATTTTATCGAAGATTTCAACCCAATTTATTTTATTAAACGTGAAACTCATTTCCTTGTATTTTCCTTTTCGAAAATTAAATCTCTTACTGTTAAAGTTTTTGCCAAATTAATTAAACAGTTTAAGATATAATGGCTTTTAGTAATTTGACCAAGTGGAGTATCATATTCAATGTTAATTACTAAATCTAGATTGTCACATATTATTAAATCTAATATATTTGTTAATTTATCAATAGCCATTTGAACAGTTAGTTGCTAACTATTTGATGCAAATAATTGTTTTGCAAACTATTAATAAATGCTTTTCTTGTTTGGCAGTTTTGTTTTAGTTAATTAGTTTTATCTTCATTCCAAATAATATTTGGGTAATTAAAATCACCAACAATCAGTAAATTGTAGTATTTTTTGACAACTTTTTGCAGTTTTTATTAATTCATTAATTAAATTGTTTACCAAGTCACAACTGTTCGGTGGTCTGTTTATACATCAAATTAATGTTTTTGTTTTATGAAGTACTAAGCTACACCATATTTGTTCAACTTCTTTAAATATAGTTTGGCAAGGAATTATTTAGTCAGATCACATTTTAAGACTGTCTACCAGAATTGCTCATCTTTAACTTATATAATTAAAGATGAGCAATTCTTAACATCAATAAACTGTCTTATTCATACCTGGAACAATCACATGTATTGAAGCATCGACATTCCATTGAAAATTGTGAGGTTCATAAAGCCCACCAGAAATGTCTTGATACACATATCGAGAAAAACGAAACGAATTCTCTGGATAAAACAAGTTTTTTATATATATAAAAGGATTTAAAAACAAAATAAAGAAAAACATTATTTGCTGTTATTTTGGTTTGAATGGTAACGTTGGATCCATAAGAGCACCCAATGAAAATATTATGTATAAATTTTTATGAGTGTGTAGTGATTTTTATTTCTTTTGTTGTTAGAAACATACCTTTTCCATCAACATATAAGTCCTAAATAAATCAAAAACATTTTCTATTTATTTTTTTTAGTATTATTAATAGGTTAGTTTTTCTATAAAAACAAAACAAGTAACTTGAAATTTATTAACTAACAAGTTCCACCAGGTAGCGATTGCCTTTTACAACATCATGATTCTCTTCTATATTAATAACTTTTTTAAGAGAATATTTCCTGAAAAACCATAAAAACTAATGCAAATATTGAATTTTGAAAACAAGAACCTCTAATTTTTGAAAAAACTTACTTGTTATATTTATTCTTCACTATTTTCATGTAGCGATTAACAATTGATAATGCAATCTAAATAAAATTAAGGAGACTAAAATTTTTTAGAATTTATTAGGTAAAAATATATTTAAGAAATAACTTGTTTCTTCATGCAGCAACCTTGATCATCAAGGTTTATGTTTAGGAGTTAAAGAGTTGGGAGAGGGTTGTAACCACAATAAAGTAGCCTCCTCGACTGTAATAGCCTTCTTCTTCTTCTTCTCCCCTTTCCTGGGGAGGTTAACAAAATTAAATAATAATCATATAACTAATTTAGAATTAGGAATAATATAAAAATATGAATAAAATTGAAAATAACAATAGACTAAAACCTCAGTTGACAAAACCAAATTTCCATCACTTTTACATGTAGAATGTACTGAGCTGTAAATATACTTTAACCCTCGTTCCACTATTCTTCTTAAATAATGCACTGCTGGTCCAAAAATATCATACATTCTGATCATTTCAAGAGTACTTACAAAAGAAAAATTATCGCTTCTGCCATTTTTAAAGAACACTTTTTGGTCAATTTTCTTATGAATTCTATCATCAAACCTGGGATGTCTATAATTTAGTGGACTCCTTGTAACTGGCTTTAAATAGCTAAATTTAGAAGATTCAAATGATTTAGAAAAATTGTATTGTTCCATTCTGCTCCATGTTCCATTCCATATCTCTGATTTATTTTTATTTGATTCGATAACAACTGGTTTAGTTGGCAGAATATCTTTTGAAACATGTAAATTTGAATCAACAGATGTATTTTTTAGAGTTGAAATTGTAGTAAAAATGTGTAAAAGTTTGCGACCAAATACATTTTTTGTGACTGTATTTAACTCATTTATAATATCCTGTTTCTTTGTAGTATTTATATTTTCAACTTTATTAAATAACTTCTTGGGAAACGGGTGTAAAGAATTTGAAAGATTATTTACAGACTGAATTACTTTTGAAAAAATTGGAACAAACTTATGCTCGAACTTTTTAGTATTTAATCTTGACATGTATGAATTTGTATGGTGATAAAAGCAATCATGGTAAGGAACCATATGAGTCAGCTCAGTGTTATCATTTGGATATACAGCAGTTTCATGCACTAAATGAACTCCTTCGTAACGCTCAGGTACAAAATCAACTAAATAGCTCGGTTGATAATCAATTTGTGGTAATAAACCTTCAAAGTCAGTTAGATTTACCAAAGGAACTAAATGAAATTTGTCCCTGTCATCTGCTCTGCCAAATTTGTGAACTGATTTGTTGAGGGTATAAATACTCTCCATTGAATTATTCATTGAAAAATGATGACTTACCATAGTTTCAGGAATGTAGTCTGCAATATCATTGATATCGGTTATATTCTCTAAAGACATATAACTTGAAATATCAGCTGAGGTAATAGTTTTGACACGAATCCAGCCAGGAGCAAGCCATGCAAGTAAAAAGTGATCCTTAAATGCTGCTTGTTTGTGTAATGCTTCAATAAAGTATTTCTTTCCAGCTTCCAAAAATATTTCTTGTGATATTTGCGTAGAAAAGCGCTTAAAATCTCCAACATCAGTATTTGCTGGTTCTTCTTTAGTACCAACATAGACTATTTTTTGTGTAGAAAATATATCAGTAGAATTGCTGAGCCAAACCTCACAGTTATCATCACATGATACAGCAAAGGTATAATTACCTATAATAAAAGCAATTCATTTTTTAATCTTTTCAAATCTAGAAGAATATTAAAAAATATTTTAAAAAATTTTATAAAAAGTGTTTTCTAACCCATCTATTTTTAACAGAGTTTACAAAGTTTCTTTTTTTATCAAAATTTTTAAATTTAAAACAAGCTAATATTTTCCTGAATCTATTTTAGATTGTAAAAACATTCAAAACAACTTTGAGAAAAATTTTTAAAACTATAGTTTTAACAAAATATTTATTAGTATTATAATCTTGCCAAACATCCAAATATTATAATCTTGCCACTTAAATATCCAAATGTATTTTTATTTTCAAACTTTTTAATTAAGTTTTTCCAAGTTGAACTGTATGTCTCTAGCCAAATGAGCTACTGTCTCTTGGATTCAAACAAATATTAAAGATTTTTTTACAAAATAGAAGAAAAATCAATACAATATAAGGTGAACTTACTACAAAAAATGTTGGCATTAGTATCAAAGTCTTTTCAAACATAAAAATATAAGTTAGCATTATTTATTTTAATTATTTTTTTTCCCATGACACCATGCAGAAATTTGTTTGACCAATGATTTTACAAATGTAATTTTTGTATGGAAAAGATAGCCCGTAGAATTAGGACTTAAAGATCTAAAATTTAAAAATGAAGGTCAAAAAATTTAAATCATATTTAAAAATTAAGCAAAGAAAAAAAATTGATCTTTTTAATGGGTGATTTCAATGCAGATCTACTGAGCTATAGTAAATCTAATCCTACTTCCAACTACCTTGATACCTTATGTTCTTACTCATTTAATCCTTCCATAATCTTACCTACTCGTATAACAACTAAATCTCAAACACTTATTGATAGCATCTTTATGAACTTCTACTCTTCTGATCATCACTCAGGTAACCTAACTATCTCCGATCACACAGCACAATTTGTTTGTGTTCCTAGCACATCCAACCAACCAAACAAAGTTAAAATTTCTAGACGATGTTTAAAAAAATTTGACCCTAACAAGTTTATTATAGAAATTTCTAAAATCAACTGGGAGCTTATGATTAAAAAAGATGACGATATTAATGAATCCATCAATAAATTTTTTAAATCGTTTAATAGGGTTTTAGACCCATGTGCCCCTTATAAAACTTTGACTAAAAATCAAATCAAACTTAAACTATCTCAACCCTGAACCTCTAAAGACTTACTTAAATCTCTGTAAAAAACTAACTCTATAAAAAATTTGCAAGATGTAAAAACTTAATACAAAAAATGAGCTTTTCACAAAATTTAAATTCTATAGAAATAAAATTAGCAACTTATTAAAAAGTAGTAAAAAATCATACTACATTACTTATTTTAATAACAACATAAAAAATACATGGAAAGGCATAAAAGATATCATAAATATTGAAGGATCATTACACAAAACACCTACTCAACTAAATCTGAATGAAAATATTATCACAGACCATGCCACTGTTTCAAATATATTTAATAACTACTTTGTCTCTATTCGTGATACTACTCAATAATATTATGCCATTAAAATATACTTATAGTGACTTTCTTAATTTTCCTAATGCTAATTTTTTCTTTATTGATCCTGTTAATAAAGATGAGGTATCTAGTCTTATTAGTAATACTCTTAAAAATGATAAAAGTTAACAGCATAACTACATTTTTTTCTTAAACTTACCTATCACATAATCTCCAAACCTCTTAGCATTATAATAAATAATTTTTTTTAAAATGCCAAATTCCCTGATGTTTTTAAAGTAGCTCAAGTCATTCCAATTTATAAAGCAGGCTCCTTACTAAACTTTTCTGACTATTGACCCACTTTCCTTCTTTCTAATATAAGCAAACTTTTTGAGAAGGCTATGCCTAACAGGCTATACAAGTTTCTAGAAAAATCTAAATCCTTGTACCAACATCAATATGGATTTCGAAGCAAACATTTTACAACCCTCGCACTTATTGAAATCACTGAGAAGATTAGAAGAGCTTTAGATAATAAACACTTTGCATGTGGGGTGTTTGTAGATTTGAAGAAAGCTTTTGATACTGTGGATCACTCCATCCTTATCACAAAATTAGAATACTATGGAATCAGAGACACCCCACTAAAATGGTTTACTTCATATCTCAAAAATAGAGCACAGTTTGTTTCCATTAATAGCACTAAATCTGATTTACAGAATTGCTCAAATGGCGTCCCACAAGGTTCAGTTTTAGAACCACTTCTTTTTCTTCTTTTTATTAATGACTTAAATACTTTTTTTAAATTTGCAACTGCTTACCATTTTGCTGATGATACTAACATGCTACTGGTTGACAAATCACTTAAAAAAATCAACAAACATATTAATCATGACCTTGGAAATCTTGTTCAGTGACTTCGTTCTAATAAACTTTCTCTCAATTCTTACAAAACAGAGCTTATCATTTTTAAATCCAATCTGGTACCTATTAATAAGCACTTAAATTTTAGGCTAAGTAAACAAAAAATATATCCTTTAGACTCTAAATATCTTGGGATTAAAATTGATTCTAATATTTCTTTTCAAGGCCATATGAATGACTTAGCGATGAAACTCAGCAGATCTAATGGAATGCTAGTCAAAGTCAGCCATTATGTAAATCTAGAAACTCTGCTAAATATATATCATGCTATTTTTGGGTCTCATCTAAGATATGCATGTCAAGTATGGGGACAATCCCATAAACAAATCATTTTAAATTTGTCTCATCTCCAAAATAAAGCCTTGAAAATAATATACTTTCAGTATAATAACTAAGTACAAATTTACAAGTACAAATTGTCACTATCCTCTTTGCTTCATCAGTAGCTTAAACTTAGTTATTCCAAAACACCACTCTGCTAAATATGGAAATAAATCCATTAAATATCAATGTATTGGCTCATTGAACAAACTACCTCCTGATCTAATATCTCTTAATTCAATCTCTGAATTCAAAATCAAGCTTTTTAATTATTTGTTAAAAAAATACAATTAAATATTTCTACAAACTAATGTTGACATTCTTTACTATATATATCAATCCGTAATCCTTCAGTTCTTAATTTGATATTTTTAACATTTTGAAATTCTCTACCTATCTATCTTTATCTAATTCCTCTGGTTTTCTATCTGCTATTTTTAAGCTTTATTATTAAATTATCCATTCTAATATTATTAATTTTAGTACCAATGAGTTGGCATTCTTTATTTATCTATTTATCTCTTTTCATTCAATAATTCTCTATTTCTCAACTATTCTACTTCATACTAAATCTTTGTTGTTGCCATCACTATTTACTAAATTTTTGTTGCTGCTGTTATTGTCTTTATTTATGAAATTCTTTTCTTATTATAATTTTTATTATTTCGTTATTATTATTATTATTATTGTTATAATTATTATTATTACTATTATTATTATTATTATTATTATTATTATTATTATTATTATTATAATTATTATTATTACTATTATTATTAGTATTTTTAATATCAGTTATTATTATTACTTTCATCATTGACTATAACGTTACGTTGTATATTGAGGTATTTACTTTATAGTATTTGTACTATTATAAATTTCCTTGAAATGTTATAACTTATTTCGAAATATATTTGATTTGATTTTGGTTTGATACCATACTTAATAACTTTACTTAAGTACATATATAAACACACACATTTACTGTAATCAAAACAAATTACCAGTAAGTGGAGGATGTAGGTAACCAAATATTCTTTCACCATAACCAGTTTCGTGCCATTGGGCAAAAAAACGACTAATGTTTGTAAAAACACTAGGAAATAATGGAAAGTGCATATTCCGTTTTAAATCTTCAATTCGACTGCCACACCAACCTTCCCATATGTGAACATTTAAAATACCAGGCTAAATAAAAAAATATTTCAAATTGTTACTCTATAGAATACCTCCAATAAGGCAATTAATTTTATAAAGCAGTGGTTCAAGTTTTATATTCTGCTCAATCCAAAAATTAATTCATATTTGATCATATTCAAATTTCTCTGTAATTTTTACTGGAGGAGAATTATAAACTATACTAAAAAAAAGAGTCCATTTTTTAATAGTAATTACAGGCTTTGTGGAGGTCTACATTTGAACATTTTTTTTTTTTTTATAATTCCATTAAACAAACATTGTACAAAGTACTTTTATGTGTGGTTGTGTGTGTGTTTGTGAAACTATATAAAAACTCCAAAAAAAATAATCATTTTATAAAAAATATCTAAAACAAAATTGTTTCAAAAAAAATCTTGTAAAAAGGAACTTTTTTCATTTTTAGTTGGAAGGTTATTTTTTATGCAGCAAAAATCTAAAATAGTAATTATGTTAAATGGTTTTGGTCCAACCCTAAAAATATTTAGTATTCAAAAAATTTTTAAATCCAATATTATTTTATTATATAGAACATTATTAAGTTTTTTTCATTTAAAGCACCCTTTTTATATACAGGTTTATTGGGATAATTTTTTGAAAACCAATTTGTATTATGTATAAATCTAGTGTGGAACTAACATTACAAAGTCTTACATAAAAAAAAATTTATTTTATTTGTTATAAACTATAAAACATTCTTTTGTTAATTTTAATACGGATTGCTGTTTACAGCAATCCATATTAAAATTATTTATGTTATATTTTTGCATTATTTATGTTATATTTTAGATGTATTAAAAAATTCTTTAAAATAAAAATAAAAAACATTAGGCTTTTTCTAAATTAACCTGCAAAGAATGATAGGTATAAAGTTGGCATAACTAAAAACAGAACAAAATGTTTATCCTTAATTACTACAAAAATTTATTGCAAGTTTTAATGCAGTTTATAACAGTTGCTTATTTACTTTTTAAATATAAAATATCAGACTATGATTCAGAAATCAATGTTTTGTTGCAAAACATTTATCAACTTTAATTTTTTTTTAAATAGAATCTTTAACTATTTTTAAATATTCTTGTAAGATATTTTTGAATTGATATTAAATTTAAAAAATATACTCTACAACTGTAATATTTTAATATGCTTGTTCAGTTTATATTTATTATCTTATGAGCTGAAACTAGAACATATGTTTCAAGTGTAATATAATTTATATTATTTTAATATGTTTGTTCAGTTTGCAAATAAGTATAGAGATTTCTATTAACTGGGTTGTACACTAATGCAATGGTCTTGCTTGCTAATAATTAATACTTTACTGACGCATTATAACAGAATATGTCAAGATGTTTTTTTCTTGAAGTTGAATGATTGTTCAATATGAGGACTTAAGTATGCCCTGATAATTTTACTAAACTCTGAATACTTTTTCCACTTAAAAAAAATCTACCCGTCTTAAGTAAGATTAGTTCAAAAACTTAATGTGTTCTATATAATAAAATAAAACCAAATTCAAATATTTTTTTAATAAAAAATATTTTTAAGGATTGCAACAGACTTTTAAATATTGAACAGGTCCATAATATTAAAGTTTTCTAAGTGTTTAAAACCTTTATTATGGAAGTGTAGGTTAAATTTTTTTACATCATTATCAAATATTACTGTAAATGCTGAAAGTCTTTATAATGATAAGACTGATAGACGTATTTATTGTAAAGTTGGTAGACTTATTTATTATAGGGTTCGATAGGCTCATTTATTATGCCTAATTATCTATTTGTAAAATCATAGCCATAGATAATAATATTAATAATGAGATTATTTATTTAACAAAGTTAAATATGAATCTTTTTTAAACTAAACTTATTTAAAATAAAGTGAATTTAGTTAAATGTTATTTGTTTAACAAAGACTATTATATAATATTGTTTCCAAATATACCTGATTCTACAAGTTATATGATGGGAAAATGTTTTGGCTTTGAAACAAGAATAATAAAGTATGTATATGCTAAAAAATACCAGAAAAAATTTTTTGTAGTAAAAAATATTTATTTATATTTAACAGGAGTATTATTTTTGTTGTAACTTTAGTGAAGATAAAATCATTTAATACAAAATATTTTTGTTAATACGAATGCAACAAAAAGTGTTATGTATAAATAAACACATTTATAAATATATATATATAAAAAATTAATATTTATACAAAAACAACTACTCCACATTTGGAATTAAAAAAAATTATTTCTATCAAATCCTGTAACTGAACATGCAACAAATCTGGAAAAAAATCTTTTGGAAATATATATTTATTTAATTAGATTGATTGTGAATAACACTTAATCCTAAAAAATACTATCAGTAAAATCTGAGATTGTGAAAAAATCAAAACCAAGATTATAATAGTTACAGTCCAGGATTCCAGCATTGAGTGCACTAATGTTGTAATGAATAACTAAACTATACTATATATTAACATAATTTCACAACTTATTCAGTAAAAAAAAATACAGTTGCTTATATGCAAATGTTGCAGTTGCTAAAATTTTATATACCTTTATCATTAGTCAATTACAAAAAAAAAATTTGGAATATTACTGAAACTATCATAACGTTTTTAGTAAATACTGGAACTTTAACATTTAAAAAATATTTAAGTGCTTTTTCATAAAAAAACTTACTATAGAAACTGATTTCTTTTTATTTACTAAAGAATTCAATGTTAAATATTGATTGGAAATATTTTCAGTATTGTTTTCCTTTGAGTTTTTTACTATTCGAGATGTAGCAGCTTTAGTTGTAATTAACTTTATTTTTGGCTGGAAAAAAAAAAGAAGTTGACAATGCACAGTATCATCAACTATTTACTATAAAAAAAAATTCATTGAAAATTAAAACTAATGATAAAAATCTTACAACAAGAGTTGACTTTCCAGTTTTTATTGAATTTACTAACATTTGAACATCAAGTGCTAATTTGTTCTCATTTAATAAGTAAAAATTGGTCTCTTTTTCATCTAAACAAAACAAGCAAGTTTTGTTATTTAAATATTTTTGTATTCCTATCATGTTGTATTGATATAGTGACTTCACTATGTCCCTATATATATATATATATATATATATATATATATATATATATATATATATATATATATATATATATATATATATATATATATATATATATATATATATATATATATATATATATATATATATATATATATATATATATATATATATATATATATATATATATATAGACTATTTTACGATAATTGACAATAATTGACTATTTTAATGAGGACTCGACGAGAAGATAATATAACAAGATTTTGGAAAAAGTAAAGATGAGAAGACTAGACACTTTGCCTGCAGTAAAGGTACTCGTGAAAATTCTTATAAGTAGCAAAAATACAGACCATGTAATTGAACTAAATAAGCATATAAATATGAGTTTGATAACAATTAATTATTTAAATCTCAATATTTTAACTCAATAGGATAAACAAAAAAAGTTTTACTCCAGGAAAAACTTTTAAAAATATTGAAGAGAAATCAGTACCTAATTTTATGTGTGAAGATATTATGAGCATGTTTTATTAATTAAATTTATGTGTGTAGCTACAGTAAATTGATTTGAAGAAGTAATATAGTGGAAATCGGTTAATAACAAAAAATAAAAAAAAATAAAAAAAAATGAAGAAATAAAGCTGTTACAACTTTCATATGGAATACAAACAGCCTTTTGCAGCAAGGTGGATTAAATTAAAAATGGAAAAAATTACCAAACTATTAGATAAGCATGAGTTAAATAGATATTTTACATCAAAATAAAGAATTTTGGGACCAATGAATTAAAATATAAAACTGAATTTTTTAGCATGCATTAAACACCTTTACAACATGAGTATACACATTTAAATGCATTTTAGAGAACTTAAACAACTGTAACCACTGTTTATATTTTAAAACTGAGGTCTTATGAATCAAAATGTATTACCATTAAACCATATGTAAAACATTAGGCATGCATCAAAACTCTTTTAATGGGCAAAAAAAAAAAAAAGTTAAAATGTTAAATGTTTTTTAATCTTAAGATACTAACACTATACTATAACTTAAAACTCGTAGTGTTAAGTTATGATATTTTTGCTGTGAACCTTGCATTTGCTTGAGGCTTTTTAGAGTTTCTTTAGAGTTTTGAAAATTAGGCAAACCAAATTGATTTGAAAAAAAAAAAAATTAAATAAATGTCCTTAATAATCTATTTAATTTGTTTAGTTTATCATCTGGAATTAAATAAGAAGTTTTAATAAATTCAATAAGGATTTCATCAAGTCTTTTGTTTTTTGTTTCAAACTAACACATTTTAAAAACAAATTCAATCCTCTCATTTCGAAACCAAGCTAAAACACTTTATAATCAAATGATATTAGGTTAAACTTAAAGCGATTATTTCAAGTAAATATGATGTATTTATTTGAGTATTGAGTATTTTACATGCATGCCTGAAAACTACTTTTTTTCAAAAAAAAGGGTCAGATTTTGTATTTAATAAAACTATGCATTAGCCAATTTAAAATATCTCATCGTGAGTAAAAACTTTAAAAAAAAAAAAACAGATTTTATTTGTTCTACTGGTGACTTTTTTCATTCTATCACTTTAATAATAGAAAGGAACTACAATGCATTAGATGGAAACAATGAGGCTAGGGCTATTACTCTTATAGTTATTATATGAAAAGCTTCCAATAAAGTCTGGCTTAATAAGCTTTTTTCATATGATATATTTAGTCTAACATTGAAAATTGTGAATCATTAATCTCCTTCATTTACAATAACCTCTTGGGTACCACAAGTATCATTTCTTGGTCTCATGAGGTGTTTTATTTATACTCTTTATCTGTTTAGTTTAAGATCAGTAATCATTTTCATCATCATTGTTTCAATGTACTTGCTTTTCAAGCATAAAAGCAAGTGCATTGAAACAATGGTGATGAAAATGATTACTGGTCTTTCTAAAATTTTTACTTTTCAGTAATTTTATCTCAACCTTCATTTCCTGTAATCACTTGATTCATGTAAACATATTAAAATTAAACACACAAAAAAATAATTTATGTTGACATTATTATAAATAAGTTTTCATAATCCATCTTATATATCCATACCATTATTACATCCATCTTATCATAGGATTTTTTAGGTAAAATAAAAAATATATATTTTTTTTTATTTTACCTAAAAAATCCTATGTTTTGCTATTAGACAATACTTTATTATTTATTATTTAATATACAAAACCTATTGCTATTAGACAATACTTTATTATTTAACAACAATACTCCTATTGCGAATACCAGAATTGTAAAAAACCCCTTAAAATGGGATTAAATATTTTGTTTGATTTCTAGATAAACATCACAAACATTAAAAATCAAGTAGATTATATTTAGATATTGAACATTTTTAAAACTAAATAATCAGGAACCATACCAATAGATATAGGACTGTAATCATTTAATATGAAAACCAGATAAAAAGCCAAAATTAAGATGAAAATAACCACTAGTAAAGACAATCCTCTAACCAACCTGTTCCTTGCCATAATTTATTTAACATTTTTCATCTAAAATAAAATTAAAAAAAATTAATAAAGTTACTCTAGTAACTGATTTACTACTGATTAAGCTACACATAAAACATTATTCATTTTTTTATGGCTTAATCTGTATTAAATCAAATACTAGATTTGTATGTATGTATGTATGTATGTATGTATGTATGTATGTATGTATGTATGTATGTATGTATGTATGTATGTATGTATGTATGTATGTATGTATGTATTTAACCTGGCCTGCACTAAAATACTGAGCTAGGTCTGGACGTTTTATTATTGTAATATATTATAATAAAACATGCAGACCTAGCTCAGTATTAATACTGACACTATACTGAATTATTAAAAGGCGAGTACTTTTAATATCATTAATTTAATGAAACTAAAATTTGTATCTATATTATATATAAATTTTAATACAATTTAAATAAAATCCAAAATTGTCCTTAAACATTTTTCTTTGTATTCAAAATAGCAATACACTTAACCAAGTTTAACTACTGAGCCTAATAAGTAAGCTATTAGCCTTTTAATCTATTTAATACCCCCATAAGACTAATTAACTTGCTCTACGTTAATAGCTGTCGATATTTTGTCTTTAATATAATAGAAAACTCTATTTTGTTCGAAAAAAATTTAATTACTCTTAAAGTTTAAGTAGGTACGTGCGTATCTGGCTATTTACGGCACCGATTTGTAAGTAAAAAACTGTGACCGTTTTTTTCACAGCGTGCTCGAAGTCGGTGTGGTAAGGATGTATTTATTAGTCTTTTTTTTTAGAATTTTATATCAGCTTAGACTTTTTTTGAAAAGTAGAATGTTTTAGGTTGTATAAATTATGTTTTTTTTCCAAAAGTATTAAGTTTTTCAGTGATTTTATTGCTCTTTAAAATTTTGTTCGTGTTCTGGAAGTGCATTGATATTGAAGGCATGTTGCTACACATTTAAAATTTTCCAGTCAGCTGTGTAAATCTATTTTCTATGTTCCTGCCAAATTTCATTAAAAAATATTCATGCGCAGACACCCTATTTTGCCACCTAGTGGAGGTACATTTTTCACCTTTTTTACAACTACTGTTACTGTTACACTTTATTAAACTGTTTCTGTTAATGTTACTGTTACTTCTTGATATAAATTCCGTTGTTTTTTTTACATTTACTAGTGATTTTTATTAGATTTTCAAATTTCGTTTCTGTTCTGGAGGTACATTAATATTGAAGGCATGTTGCTACACTTTTAAAATTTTCCAGTAAGCAGTATAAATCTATTTTCTATGTGCCTGCCAAATTTCATTAAAAAATATTCATGCGCAGACACCCTATTTTTCTGTACAGTGGAGGTATGTATTTCCACTTCCGTTTAGGCGGGGAGGGGGGGGCGTAATTTGATGGTGAGCATTTGGTATATTAGATTGTTTATTCATAATAATGAGATATATAGATAGTTTTCATTAAAAAGGTATACAATTTTTTTTTCAATAGCCTTTTATTAGTAATAAAAGGCTATTGAAAAAAAAAAGTTGTTTGTAATAATATTACTAACACTATTGTTGTTAGTAATAATATTACTAACACTATTGATGATTTCACACACCAAAATTAGTTTCAAGGCTAAATTCTGTTAAATCTAATTTAAAATGCTGAAATAAAAATTATGACACTTTTTTATGGTGATTCAGAATAAAATGCAAAATAATGATAACAAACAAAAACAGCATTTTCTCAATTTTTTTCTGTACCCATAATTTACCATATAACCACCAACCAGCATTATTTATGATATATAAAAATTATATATATCTATAATTTTTTATTGATCAAAGGCAATTTATTAGTTAGTTAATTGTGATTGATTGCTGACCCAATTAAATAGTAATTAAATATTAATAATGATTAAATTACAATTAAAGTAGTGTTATGATCGTTGAATTTAATTTAGTGCATCATGGGACCTAAAAAGAAAACAAATCTATTTTATGGTAAAGCTAAATATTATTTAGTTTGTAATTTTCCAATACCAGCTCATTTAAATATGGGCTGTAGAAATGGACATGTACTGCATATATTGGCAACTAACAATGATTCATACCAAGTAACTGTAGAACTAATCAGTAAGTATTTTAACATCAACATTTCTCCCAATCAGATTCTGCAACTAGTTAGAAAATCAAAAGTCTTTGTAAAAGCTTTTTCACGAAATTCAAAACAATTTATTGACATCTAACTTCGTTACAAGGATGCTAAAGGTACCTATATAGTTTTAAAACCATTCTTTTACTTTAATATAGTGTAGTTTTGTAAATAAAATTACAAGTTAAAAATATATAAATATTATAATTATTGCATGTTTTTAATTCATATTCTCCTTGCAATTCCCAAAATGACTTTCTTTATGTTATTCATAGGCGATCCAAAGGGTTTTGTAACCTTTTTGGACCAACATGAGTTGCCCAGAGGATTGCTACCACGCTATAGAGGGAACAGACTACATATACTTTTTCACACATGCGGTATTTTGATCCATCATTATGCCATATTGAAGATATTTCTGTGTTCTGGCTTGGCGTTATGTGGAGGTCTGCGAAATAGTTTGTTTCAAGACTTTACATCTGAAATAGGTATACCACTATTATTTACAATATTATAGGTTATAGAATGCATCTTTATAACATAGTAATGACACATGATTAACAAAGAATAAAGACAAATTTTATTTTTTGTTACTTATTAACTAATTTACCTTAGGTATCCGTGAGTTGTGTGTTTTAGCTTTAATTGGAAACCTACTTTCTGGCCCTTGGATGACAAAATTTTATATTGCACCAGGTACAGGACTTGACTACATATCTGGCATTCAGGTAGTAAAAGATGTTAGGAACACTCTTATTGAGAGCAGCAAGAATCCCTTATCTCTACTTAAACGAAAAACTGATTTCTTTGGTAATGATATTAAAGATGTTGTTTTTGATTCAATAATCAGCTTTTGCCCAGTAACTAATGAAATGAGTAAAGCATTAGGTGACTGTCTTAATGCTGTTATTAGCGTCATTGACAGGCAGTACAAGCGTCAGTTCGAAATGAGTTCCAATGATCTTCTTAAAGACCAGACTAAGTCAGCTAGGCTTCACAACATTGATTCAGAAGAACTTATGGGTATGTTTAGCGCTGCAAAGCACAAAGCTCCTAATGCTACTCTTTGTTTTCTTTCTTCGAAACTTCGTGCTTGCAAAAATAAAACAACTGCTCTGCTTTGTAAAAAGCCAACTGATATTCAAAACAAGATGATATTATGGGCTATCTCTAATGCCAGGAAAAATCGATTTACAAGTATGCAATGTCATAATGAACTGAAGTTAGAACTGCTAAAACGAATGGCAGATAAAATTCAGAAAAGGGAGGACAAAGACCGCAGAAAGGTAGAAAAAATATTGAAAAGTTGCATGCCCGATCAGGTAAAAGAAATGTTTCCTGACCTAGAAAATAACGAGGCCTCAGATATTGAAGAAATTCTTATTGGAGCTGCTATTGGAAGAAGTATTTGCCACATGTGGTTCGATAATGCCAATAACACCCATGAGGTATATTACGGCAGAATTGTTAGCATTAAAAAGAAGAATAATGATATATATATAGTTTCTTATTGGAAACCAAATGAAAATGAAGATGATGACGGTGTTGAGTATGATATGAGCAAATATCAACTTTCTGCAGACATAATAAGCGGTGATATGGTGATAACATAACAGAATTGTGTAATAATAAGGTATATTTTATTTTAAGTATTAGTATGTCTTATAAACTTGCATTAACAGATAATATTTACAGATAGTAGGTGAATTTCTTTTTTTTTTTTTTAAATAAATTTTGCAATGCCTAATATATATCTAATTCCTTCCTTTTTTTGTAGTATTATGAAAAGATTTATAATTTTTAAATTTGTTTTTATATATACATATATTTATATAGAAGTTTAATTTTAGGTAGTCGGGTAGTTACCGACATCCAACAACCAGGGTTGACCTGGTTGCAACGTGCTATGGGAAACCAATGCTCATTTACTTTTTGACATAAGCAAATTGCTTGGCTTATGACAATTAATGTTTATCATTGATGTTTATCATTATCAATGATGGCAATGCATTTTTCTATCAAGTATAACAGAGTTTCGCTTGCGTGGATTGAGAGATGTTAGTGTTCCATTACAATAAATCCCTTTAAAATTAAAATTTTTATTTATTATTTATTTAAAGTTATCTGGCCATTACCAGAGAGTAATGACCAGATAACTTTTTCTTCATTATAATTTTTAATCAAATCTTTTATATTTCAGGTTAAACAGTATTGAAGGGTCTGCTATCGATTTTTTTGTTTGGTAATGGGAAGTTTGTTGTGTATCAGGAGTTAAGTGATTTTGAATTTTTTAACTTAATAAATCATTCTTATATTTACTAATCTCTAATGGGTTTTTTAGTTATGGTGCTAAATATCTAATGCATTTTCATTTATTTTTTATTGCAAGGTTTTAACAATAATGGCAATTTGCTACTGTGGATATTTATGTTAAAGACCTCAAGATTATATTTATTAATTCAGTAATTACAGTTAAATGTTAATTCATTATACATTAGTTAATTGTTAGCCTTAATTTTTATATTTTTTTTAATTTTATATCTGATATATTTTTTCTTATTGCAAGGTTAAACAACATGATGAAAACTACATGGTTGCTTCAGTGGATGTTGATCTTTTTCATATCATGATTAAACCAGTTAGATCATATTTATTTAGAGGTTTATTATGTTTATTAATGCAGTAATAACAGTTATATATTATTTATTATCCGGGACATAGGGCATCCTTATTAAATAGGTATTGCGATATAGGTATTGAGAAATTTTTACTTTATTTTAGATATCATTGGATGTGGTTTCCTTTGCGTACTAAAAGAATCGACTCTTTCTATCTATGGATGTCACAGTTTTGTTTGCTTCAAAACTTTTAAAATAGTTTTAGTTTTTGCGGTTTGTTGGAATTTATATATAATTAGATATATGGGGCTATGGAAGGGAAAAGGAAGGGGAGCAGTGGTGGACATCCCCCCACCCACCCCACCCATTTGTTTAGTTGGATATTTTTTTAGTAGGTTTTTAGTTAAACTATATGATGTAATTGACACGGCTTTTAAAGTGGGGAGGGGGGCCAACTCCCTAATTTAAAAATTCTAAACAAAAGGTCCTCGAAGCAATTAGTTGGGGAGGAGGCATAGCCCCCTATGGTGTCGACGGCCATGAAAGAGGGAGGTGAGACCCCTTCCGTGAATGAATTTTTTGTTTATTTAGTTGGCAAAATATATCTTTATATCTATATCTTTCATTGAAAAAGATAAAAATAAGCATAAATAGAGAGCGAAAACACTAAGGCTTTAAATGTCTTTAAAGTCTTCTAAATCTATACGCTATAGAAAACCTAGCCTTGGTACATATTTAATAACATAAATATATATAACCTTAACTATTATTATGTATAAATGTATGTGTATATATATATATATATATATATATATATATATATATATATATATATATATATATATATATATATATTGTAAGTATCGTTAAAATACACGATATTTTATTTAAAATTTTGTTATAAATTTTAATATTAGGTTTTTATCATTAAAAATATTTTTGTTATAAATTGTTAAAAAAATTTTGTTATATTAAAAACTTTTTTAAAAATGTTATTAACTCGTTTTGCACATTTCACTAAGCAAAATCATGCGCAAATTAACAATAACGTTCTACAACAAAGCTACCGTTAGCCGAACGCGAGTTTTTTACGATGGTTGCATTTTTCCTAAGCAATCCTTCATAAAAAAAAATGTTACTTAAATAAGCATAACTTTTTTTGTAATTGTTCGTTTTTCATAAAATTTTCACCATTTTAATATAAATTCAAAGCTCTTTCGAACCATATATAATACTTAAATGAATAAATGGTGTAAAATTTTTACACACGTACCTAGTTTAAGAGTAATTTAAAGTTTAATTAAATTAACCAGTAAGAAAAAATTTGAAATTAAAACAGCGCCGCTAACTATATTTATAGCAAGAGGTTTAAAAATTTTAATACTATATACTAAGTTTTTAATAATAAATACCAAGGTTTAATACTAAAACTTTTTGATTTACAGTTAAATACTAAAACACTAGTTGAAAGCAAAAAATTTAAACAAAAACACTTTCGATATTAAAATAGCGGCAAAAAATTCATATTGCTCACTTTAGCAAATGAGCAACAGCTGATTGATCTTACGTTCGAAACTGAACATTGCGCGCAAGAACAAATGACCTCTTGATTTTAGCGCAGTTTTTAACAAAAACAAAGCTCGATTAAGCGCTTTATTTTCGATTTTTGTCTAGTCAAGTTATGTAATTTTATCTTCAAATCAAATTTTTTCTTATATTTTGGTAAAATACAATGTTTGCTGTTAAGTATAATGGGAGAATGAAAAGAAAAGAGCTTATTAACAAGAATTTATGCTGATAAATAACTCAAGTTTCAAGGAAACAGATATAAATAAGTATAAATGATACACAAATAATAATAACAACAATAATAAACATAATAAAAAGTTATTTGATCAACTAAATAAACTGTTTATAAAAAAAATAATAAAAATTAAAATGAGCTCATTCTTCTCATTATAAAAAGTAAATCCATGAGCCGATCCAAGATTTTTTAATATTTTAGGAATGCGTAAATCCGGTGTTTACGGAGAACTTTTTTTCTGCCACAGACCTCTTTTTCTGCCACGCTTTTGGAAGAATTTTTGAAGCGTGGCTTATATAGTATGATCATGTTTTGCTGTGTTAATTTTTGAAAATATGTATTAGCAATTGAACTTTAATTTCACACAACTTTTATTTTAATATACATATTTTTTTATCATACTAATATCAAAATTTTTGTTGTACTTGTTGTTTTTTTTATAAGCAAAACGTTTTTAAGCATATGGAGGCTCAGATTTGGAAAAAAAAAAAAGCATATGTAAGCATATTCCTGAGCCTCGATATATTATTTATTTTTATTATTTCATTTATTTCAAATTTTATTTATTTTATTATTTCATTGATAAAATTTGTATATAGTATATATTTTTTATTATACTGTACTAAAGTCGACTTTTTATTTTTCTTATAACCATTAACCTTTAGTAACGCACGCATTTTTAGAAAGTATTGAAATAAGCATATTTTATTATAAATATGCTTAAGTTTAAGCATATTTTTGAGCCTCTTTTAACTTTTTGCTTAAGCATACCCGAGCCTGTTTCAAAAATTTCATATGCTTATAAAAAAAAAACATGTACTTGTTGCATCAGGTTTATATTGAAAAAGGGTGTTTCATTTTACTTACCTATTCTTTCATCTTCAAAAACCATTTTTTACTGACTAGCAAATTTCTCACCCAGATATCTTACAGACATACCTAAAGCAGGTACTGCACCTGTTTTAGGCATGTCAGTAAGATACCTGTTTTAGGTATGTCAGTAAGATAAAGCAGACAATGTCTGCTTTAACAACGCTATACACCCAGATGGAGGAAGAGGGTTAATATTTGTTACTTTTACCCTCCCAACTCCAAGTATATCAATTGTATTTAATGTTAATTTAATAGGTACTGATTAAATTTATTACATATTAATAAAAACGTTTTTATATCAGTAGTAAATTTTAATTGACATTTGCTTACTTTTATTTTTACAACAATAATTTAAAAGTAACATAAGTTACTTTTAACTTATTTAAAAAAAAAAAGTTATATCTTTGAATAGTCGATACAAATAGCTATTATGGTTTCAGTAATGTATTAAGATAAATTATTTTTGTCGTTAGCACAGCGCAAAATGAAATATATTTTACATAAATAATTCCAACTGTTTTTAAAAGTAGCATATTTTTTTGAAAGTTACCAACACAAATGAATTTGTTTAAAATTATCGGCTTTTTTTTTTTTTACGACTTTGTCTGTTATGCCTTAGTTGCATTGAGTTTGTTGTTGATACACGGGTTTATAGTCTCAGTTTCGTTCCGTAAATTATCACCATGTTGTTTATCAAGATAAATATTTCAAACTTAAGTTAGTGATAAATTTGCCTAGGAAGGATATTTACCGTTAAAAAAAAATTTTAACGCTAAATATCCTTCCTAGATAATTTGCGGAACAGAATTGAGACTATAAATCCGTGTATTGGGCCTGTCCATAAATTAAGTCAACAAAACAGGGGGATTGAATTTTTTGACATTTGTTGTCAAGGGGAGGGGGGAGGTCAAGACAAGTTGACATCAACAATGTCACTTTTTAAAATAAATCAAATTACTTAAAAATAGGAAATTTAGGCAGAGGTTGCAATCCTGTGTTACATACTCGCTAAATCTTCGTTATTTTAATCATAGAAGTATAAAACAGACGGAAGTTCAACTGCATTGAAATTCTTCGGGACTATGCTCGTAACCTTTTGTTTCGTAAACAATAAGAAAACGACATGTACTTGAACGTTTAATCTTTATACGTCGACACAAATAGGTACGTTTATAATAATTTAAAAATATAGTATTTTGAAGGTTTGCTAATAATATTCAAGAAAAACAATAAAAATGGAACAACGAAATAGCAAACAACTTTTTTATAAACTTCATATTAAATGAATGAAGTACTACAAGAATGAATGGAATTATGATATACAGCTAATAAACTTTAACCTTTAGTTATTTATAAAACAATTTTTTTGAATATTTAAAAATTGTTTTAGTTGTCTTTTAAATCAAACGTCGTTATGACTTGAAGCAAGAAAAGAAGCTTAAACTAACATATGCTTTTATAATCAAGCGGTTCTACTTAATTACCGAGTTTTAATAAAACTTTTGCTGGCTCCAAAAGTTTTAGAGGACCTTTTTTTTTTTTTTTAAGTAATTTTTTCAGCCTAAAACAAAAATAGTCCCGGGCCCCAAGAAATCTTAATCCGCCACTGCAATTACTAATTGTTAAAACTTTGCAGCATATCTCTAGAATAATTCATTTTTTGATGTTTTAATAAAAATCATTTCAGTGAATTTTGTCGATTAAGACATGTTTTTTTAAATTAATTGTCGGTAACAAGCATTTTCCCGAGACAACTTGAAATTGCTTTGATGTTTGTGGCTCGTTAAACTTCCATCTGTTATATACTTCCATGTTTTAATAAAGCTGTTTATATTCTTACTTTTTAAAAACCATATTGTGCTTTAAAAGGACCCAACGCATACAGACAACTAAATAGGCACACACGAGATGTTCACTTGAAACATTATTACCTTATTATAATTCAATTATCATTTTTTTACCAGAATATTTTAAGTAGATTTAAAATTATAAAAACTAAGAATGCTCAATTAGGATCATGGGTGCATACCAGTATGCTCCCTTGATCCTACCTATATGCACCCTTGATCCTATGTATGTATACTTGATTCGAGATGAAATGTATACCATGATTGTATAAGAATAATTTTTAAGTCATCAAAGCAATGTCTATAATAAAAACCAATAAAGTTATTATTAATTTTACTACAAATTTATCTTTCTTAAAAAAGTAAAAATTAATGAAAAAAATGTTATTTTTTACTGAGACTCAACGTTTTTATTTTCATTACTTTCAAGATCAAGTTTTTTTTTTCTTGTCATGAAGATCTTATTTTGCATTTCATGTTTTTTCTTTTTTGACTGAGATTTTTTTTTTTATTTCGTGAAGCTTATTTAACTCATTTCGAACAGGAGTGTCTGTGAGTATTCGAGTACGCTGACGTTTATGTCCTTTAATAGATTTCCTTGATCCAGCTTTTGGAAATGGCCTAATTTTTTCTAGACTTGCTTGATGAGAGATATTATTAGAAACACTGGATAGTTGACTTCCAGGTTCAGATACAGGCTGAATAGGCAATACACTACAAGCTGAACCAGATGACAGACTTGACATCAATGATTGATTAAAAGCTGGGGCATGAACTGGATCAACGACACCTGGAAAAGGGTTAGCAGTAATAGGTTCTGGACGGTCTGTTACATATGAAGAC